TGAGATTGGTCTGCTGGTCATGAGCTGTTTCAGGAACTCAAGTTGCTTTACCTGTGTGTGTTCGTGTGTCCCCAAAGCCGCATGTTTAGCAGAAGTAAGAATGGCGTGAGCCACGTTTGGATGTGTTTGCTGAAACGGAGCTGCCTTCAAAGCCCAGCTCCAGGATTGAGGGAGTCGGTGGGCAAAGGACTCTCTGTTGGGGGACCCCCATCCTTGCACCCCTTTACACCTGTGCAGCAATAGCGGCAGCACTTGGTGCTTGGACAAAAGCAGCCATTTTCATTCCTCATAATGGTCTGGAGAACCTCACGTAATGTAACTTCAGGGTATTTGTGGGGTGATTAAAAAGGCGGACTTACAGCACTGGTTGCCCAGAGTCAGGGTCTCAGGACTCAGTGGGCCCTTTGGGAACCCTAGCGGCTGCCCTGTGGTACCACGTTCTGGCACCGGTCCTTATTTGGTCTCTGTTTTTATGGCCACTGCTATATCCCCACTCCTGGAAAAAAGGGGGGCAGGGTTTTTTGAATTCTTGAGAGCCTTCCCAGTGCGGATACTATAATTAAGCTTTCTAATTGGAGTGGGGAGAAGTGCAGCCTATATAAACTATGGGTTGAAATGCTTCTATGAAACCTTGCTGGTTCATTTAGATTGGAACATAGAGGACTGCAGAAGGGCTGTGATGGGAGGTTTACAAAATTACTTAGCGAGGACAGAGGGCTCAGATGGTCTTCAAAAGGGGTGGGTTGTGTATGCATCCGTATCCTGCTCTTTTCCCCATACAAGGAGTCTGAGGCAGCGCCCTGGTCCTTCTGCTTTCCCTTTTATCCCCACAACAGTCCTGTGAGGTAGGTCAAGCTGACCAGAGAGGGGCCTGGTAAGGAGGCCCTCAGAGCTGAAAAAGCAAACCCCATTCTGTTCCATAGACAAGAGGGTGTTGTGGCTGAAGGGAGTCTAAAATGCAACTCTTGTGCTTCTGACTTGCCCACAAAATGAAAGATACCTCGATGGCCACTTGGAACAGGTTCTTGGATGGGAAGGAACTCTTGTTTGGTCCAGCAGGGACTCTCGCCTGTTTGAAGTTTCCCTAGCACTTTGTGGTTTTCTAGCATTTTGTGAAGCCACACAGCTCTGATTTTGGAAGGCTCCTTTGGTGTGCGCTGCCTGAAAAAATAGGAATAAAAAAATTGGAAAACCATTCTGGTGCTGCTGACGTAGGATCACCCCCCCCCAACTTCGCCGCCGCTGTCACTTGCATTGCTTACCTCACCCAGAGTTTAAAAGCCTCTTAAAAATTCCAGCCCGTCGTTCTACGACCTGAGAAAGTATCTGTGTGGGAAGTGAAAAACTCACTTGCCCCAGAAAGCAGCTGGTTTAGTCAGATATTACTTCCTGTGCAAAAGCCACACACTTCTTCCCAAAAAGCATTGTTTGGAAATGCAGTGCTTCTCTCTTCCCATGCACGGTGCCAAGGCAGGTGTGAGAGTCCCTGCCAGGTGAGCTTGTGGCATCAAGACAAAGGAGGAAGCGAGACGGTGGGAGCAAAAGGGAGTCGGGGAACCAAGGCAGCTGAGGTTTCCATGAATCCATGTTCCAAGCTGAAGCTCAAGCTCTTTTGGCTCCAGTGATGGAAAATCCAAGCAGTGCTTCCAGGAGCAATTTTTTGTTGTTTTGAAGGCAGTAATTTCTCAGTCCCTTAATGGCACCAAAGCTGGTGTGCTGTAGCGTCTGATGGCCGCCTCTGTATGGTTGCTTTGGAGCATGGGCTTGGGGCCAAGAGCTGGTCTTTTTATTTAGCTTTTCCCACAAAAACACTCAAGTTTCTAGTCCATATGACTGGAACTGGAAAATATGTTGTCAGTGAGCAAGTGGAGGGGTGAGCACAAGGCCCTTTGCTCAGCCTAAGGAGAGTTTGCATTTCATTCACGTGGAAGTAATAATCTACAAACTTTATGACTCGGGCACCTGGCTTCAATTACCTTTAAAGGCTTGGGCCCGTTTCTGCAAATGTGCCAGCTGGTGACTCGGTTCGCTAAAACAGAAGCCGCTTGGGTCATTGTTATTTTGAGTTCTACGTCACGACCCATCCTTGCAGAGTCTACAGTACAGGTCCACGGATAGCAGTGGTCTGAGCCTTCCCAGCTGTGTTATTTAAAGTATGTTTGTTGATCTCAGCAGATCTGGTAGGGTGGGTTCACCTCCCCACTTGACTCTTCCTCTTTGACAAATCTTCCTGCACTCCCTATGCAGGCTGAAAAAAAGGGAAAACAAAGGCCGCTGTTACATCTGAAAAGCATCTCTAGGTCTGAAAAAGGAAATATTTCTGTGTACTTTCTGGAACGCTAAGCCTGTAGGACTGCCTGGAATGTAGTGTTGCTTTGGAGCATGCAAAATTCAGTTAGCCCTACTCAGAGCAATTTAAGCCTTTTGTGTGCAAGCCTTTTGAAGCTTGTGGTTTGTTCTCCGGGGGCTGGGCCATGGGGAAAAAATACCCCTCTCCCCAAGAGCTTTTGTTGCTGCAATGCAATGCAAAACTGTTAAGAAGTGAACACCATTGTCCCGGTGGAGACAGACTGATACTGGCAATGATTTCAAAGATGTGGAGTGTATGCTCTATTCATCTTGTGTGTTTGCTTGGGGACAGATCTTTCTTAGGCTACTTTAAAAGAATTTTCAATCAGATAATTGGAATACAATAAGGAGGGTTAAAATCAGTGCAAAGGACTTAGTATGGTATCCTGAGAGCCACTAAGAGTGCAGGGCTGAGACTGGCAACCTGGGTTCTAGTCCTCAGTGGGTTACTTTGAACCCGTCACAGACTCTCAGCTCAGCCTACCTCACAGGGTTGTTGTTGCTGCAGGGATAAGATTGAAAGCAGCAGGAGGAGAATGCTGTGAGCTGCTTTGAGTTTGTAAGAAAAAGCGAGATATAAATGTAACAAATAATACTAAAATTACCTATAGTGCCAGAAAGCCACTGGCTTCTAGATATGGATAATCCATAGTTTTATTCTTGCTGTTTCCCTGGTGTATTTGTGTTTTACTTAATGGTGCTTCAATGTTTTGATTAAGCAAGATATACATAAATGGCATTAAATAAATCCTCAAAGGTATATTTGTGCACAAAATATAGATGCAACTCATATTTTGACAAACTGGCTTTGCGTTAATTCCTGTTAAGCCATCCAGAATGGCACCCTACAGAAGTTTTGGGCTCCTGGCATTCCTGAACAACAGCTATACTGGCAGGGGCTGATGGGAAGGGGAGTCCAAAACATTTGGTGGGCGGTAGGCTTGGGAAAGCTGAACTAGAGGCCTGCTTTTTATTTTTGGTTGATTGGGGTGGAAAGAGGGAGGGAGGCAACAACCCGGTAAGCCAAAAGTAGGAAACCTTGTAGGCTCACAAGAGAAAATGCAAGAATCTAAAGATTTGGCTCAGACTTTTGAAATGTTGATAACCAGTTGGAAGATTCTTCTGTGCCACTCCTTTCAGATTTATTTCCCCATTTGTCTTAAAGATCCAAGGGCATTTAAAAATAAGTTCCTTGTCTGGAAATGATCAGAGATGCTGTAGCTACAAGATGCCTGCACTGAGCAAGGGGGTTGGATTGGATGACCTCTGGGGTCTCTTTCAAGTCACTGGCCAGGTTGGCACAATCACCAGAGCTGAGTTGAGCTGGGACCCCCAGTGGCACCAAGTGGCCTATTCCAGGCCTGGGTGTGGCTTGCTGTGTCGTCTGGACCTGGCTGGCAGGGGTTGTTTGAGGGTTAACCCACCTCCAGAGAACCCATGATCTGTTGAACGATTACTTGAGCTCATGGATGAAGGGAACCTGAGATCTAGGGCTCCCCACTTTTCTGTTTCCCCTTCTGGTGGACAGTGGTGGATTTTTGGACTGCAGGCCTTCTTCGTGATGGCCACATCCCAAGGGAGAGTTGGCAAACTTGCGCTGCAGTGGGGGACGGGGGGATAGCTCGTTACCACATCATAACAGCTTACCCAGGATTAATGCACTTGTAGGGTACCCATGGGGTCTGCTTTTGAGACCCCTGGCTTGCCTTGGCTTGCCATATAATGCAGATCTGGACGGCAGAAGGTTGTTTGTTTAAATACAGTTGGTTTCATCATATAAATGCAGTCTGACAAATGTAAACGGACTAAACTGTAAATAAGTTGTAATTCCAAAACAAACATGAAGAAGCAGTGCCAAACCCATTTTGACCTTAGAGGTTTTCTTCAGTGGTCTAGAGTGCACAGAAATTCAGGTTTCTGTGCACATATTTACAATATAAGTAAAGCCTCTCACTTGTGGTGATTAAAAAATGAAAATGTGGTCTGCCTACCTGCTATTAGAAAAAGACTTATTTTATTCCTTTAAAAAAAAAATCAGCTTATTAAATTGCAAAGTAAACTTGTGGGTGCTTACCAGATCGAGCCATAATGTCACGGATCTTACCTGACCCCAGAGTTTAAAGTGGATGCTAAAGTGAATACATGCCAGAATATTTATAAAATGAGGCCATAAAATGGCCCTTAGGGATGTTTTTCTTCTGGTGTAGGCCAAGCACTGTTGAAATCCCAAGAGCAATTTAGAAAAAAAGTTTTATTGAGATGTACAACAATTTTAAAACAAATTGATCATCATATTTAAAAGGACCAGACACGCTTATATTAGGATGATTCCAAAAGCTCTTACTGGGGGTCTTGACGTATCATGTGAACTCGAATGCCAGGGCTTGTCTGAGGGTGAGACAACCCTCAATTAACCCTAAAACAAACCAGGGTACATTAACCCACAGTGGGCTGTTTTGTTGCTTGGAGAATTTCTTTCTCCTGAAGGGGAGACCTGAAGCAAAGCTCAGAGGGAATGGGGAAATCGACGGGGGAAGGCTGATGGGTGTCAGTGTTCCTGCTGCTGAAAAGGTGGAAGTGAGGTGTTTCTGCAAGCTTGTTTCTGCTATATGGCCAGCACCATCTGAATCCTTTCCTATCTCCCTCTGCAGGTGAAAGTCGTCCGTTATATTGGAATCCAACTTCAGTGCAAGCTGAGCATCCCCCCGAGCGAAAGGACGGTCGAGTTGAACAGCTACCCGAGATTCAGCGACTGGCTGTATCTCATCAACGTGAGGAAAGAGGTTGTCCAGGTAAGGCCGTCAAGGTGTGTGCCTAAATGTTGAGTTCGAGGAGGAGAGAGAAGAAGGCTCTTTTTTTCCACTTTTGCTGCTCACCACACATAAATGTATAGATCGCTATCAACCCTTCCCCTTTCAGCCACCTGTTTTACTAGACTGATGCCTTCCAAATATTCTGGACTACAACTCCCAGCAACTGATGGCTGATGGGGGTTGAAATCCCTAGCTAAGAAACCCCAAGCTTTTCCACCTTTCCTTGTACGGGAGTTTCGCCAGCCCCTTTGTCCTTGTTCTCCTCCTCTTTCGCTTTTTTAACTCTTCGGCACGGTGGCAAGCTGGTTGTGATGCCAGGTTTCCTTCTGTAAGTTCCAGAAGATGTTTCTTAATAGGGGCCCTCGCATCTTTTTGATCTGTCTCTGTAGAAAGACTATTTTTCGTCTCTCTGTCATTTCGGGAGGAAGATCTAAGTGTTGTGGGCTTCGCGTTCTCATACTCAAGCGCCTGAAAAATCGTACCTGTGGTTTGGATTGTTTCATGCAAACGTTTTTATACTCAACAGGGAACTCGGCAGAATGGTGTTGTTTTTTCCCCCTTCTGGTGTTTTGCATGGCTGTTTTGGGTTTACTGCAACCTGGTTGAGGGGGGAATTTTCTTTGATTTATGACTGCCTTATCTCAAGCCTCCAGGGGTAATGACGTCACCGTCTTATCTCACATATCCTTGAGACATATCTGTCATGATTTTTCGCTTATTTTCCAGCAGAAAGCAATTAAAACCAGAGAGATTTTTGCCAAGACCACCCAATGGGTCAAGATGGGGCTTCCACCTCTTAATTTTTAATATGTGAGTTGCGCAAAAGCTTCGGTCTGGATGGAAGTCACATCCTCATTCCTAAAAGACTTCTGATCCCGACTCCAAACCTCTGGAAAGTAAACAAAGGAAGACAGTGCTACTTTTGCAGAGACTCAAAACACTTTTCCTGTTACTAAGGAATGAGCCCCAGCAAAGCAAAGCAACGTAGGCGTCAAGCCTTGTGTTTTAGAAACATAGAAACAGAACAAGTCAGAAGGGGCCTCCCAGGCCATCTAGTCTGACCCCCGGCTCCAGCTGGCTCCACTCATGACATGCCCACCATGTGCATGTCCAGCCTATCTTTGAATACCCTCACTGATGGGGCCTCAGCCACCTCCCATGGAAGCCCATTCCATACCCTCGGGTTTTGAACCGAAGGGCACAAAGTTAATGAAGTGATGACGGTTATTGCCTTGTTGTTGTTGTTCAGTAAAATAGCAACTCTGGAGAACTTTGAGCGTTCTTGGAACCAGGTGGTGGAGATGTAAGGAGAAGAATAGAAAAGAGGATACTTAAGGTGGGAACTTTGGGCGAATGAATATGTCCTTACTCAGCAAAATGAGCAGGGGGACTCCAAGGTAGCAGGGTGGGTTTATCACATTTGGATATTATTGGATGCAGAGATTCAGAGGTGCTGGGATAAACCCAACCGGGGGTGGGGGACATGGAGTGGCAGCCGGCCTCTCTTTGCAGCTGAGAACTCTAGCAGAGTTCTGCAGAGAGCTCAGATTACTATATGTCAGAGGTAGGTGTGTGTGTGTGTGTGTGTGTGTGTGTGAATGCAGCTTCCTCTCCTTAATCGCAGCTGGATTACATGCATTGGATTTTTTTTTTTAAAAGCAGGGGAGCATTCAAAAGCAGTGTCCCCTATCGGGAGTGAACCTGGTTTGAAAATCAAGCCAAAACTCTAAAGGATTTTCACGTAGCCCTTCAGGTGCATCCCTGGCTCCTGAGACATATTAAATAAAAATAAATAAATGTTAGCCCCTCATTGTTCATACACTCCTTTTTAGAATAGAGAATGTTGGCTTGGGGACTCTGCAGTGGATGGTAAACAAGATTCTTTGTGTCGGGCGGCTCTTTGCTTGCTCCCCCCCATCCCGCTTTTCTTTTAATGCCTGTCACATGCCTTCTTTTTGTTTTAAGAAGTGTGGCAGAGATTTATGAGAGCTTCCACGTGCCGGCTTTTGCCAAAGTCTCCATTTTTGCTGGGATGAGACTTGGCTGGTTTGGCAGCATTTTGACATATGCCTGGCTGACGAAAGTAGCACTTCAGCAAAATACATGAGATGGTTATCTTCATCCTAAACATCTCCTCCCCACTACTTTCCACTGGAAAAAAATCAATTTACTCAGCAGTGTTTTTCCCTGAACTACCATGACCTTTTGTTTGGGTGTATTTTCTACTTGTATCATGCAAAAGCAGCAGAATTGGTTGCTGGGTATAGAATCCAGCTTATTGTGAATTTCTACTTCTGTTTTTGGACCTCTACCACCCACCTCCAAAAATGAAGCTTCATTAACCCTGAGAAAATAGGCTTGAAGGCATGCTGGAAATGCTGGGTGAACACTTAGAAGCTGGGAGACAGGTTTTTCTTTTAAAGTAAATTTTGCGCTCCCTCCCCCTTTCTTGTAGCTCTTTCATTGCTTCCAATCACGAATGGTGAAGACCTCAATCTTTTCCTTATGATAGGCATTTCTCTCTATCTATAAAACACATTCCCAGGGTGGCTTACAGAAATCAATCGGTCAGATTCAAAAATAAATACACTTTAAAAAAGCAAAGTCAAAACACCCGATACATTAAAGGGGGTAGCAAATGTAAAGAAAGCAGCATCTGCATAGCAGCCAAGATAGAAGAGATGAAATGTCAAGTCCCAGGAGAATGAAAAGATCCCCTTCTACTGAAAGTGTGACAGCAAGATCGATATGGGGTGAGCCTCCTTCCAAAGCTGGGGTGCCACCACTGAGCAGGTCCTCTTCCTTGCCCGACATCTGGTATAGAAAAAGCACTGCTGAAGTACAAACCATGTACTTCAGGTAGGATGGTAACTATGGCTGAAAATTGGTGATCTTCTGGAGAGCATTTGGATGGGAGAGTGAAGACCTGCGATCAGATCTCCTAGTCCTTAAAATTTTGCAAAAGGCAAGTGAAGATTGCTGAATGAGGCTGTTCTACAGAGGGAAAGCAGTATTCTCCCCTCTCTGCAATGCCTGTTTTCTCTTTATGGATTTATTTCCATTTGGAGAGCTGCCCAGTCCAAGTTCAGTTGCAAAGAAAAAGGCCTGAAAGTCACTCCTTCTCCACTGAAAAGGACCCGGACAGGAGAAAGAAGCAGCATTCAGAAGGTCTTCCCAGCTAGGTTGTGTAGAATTCTACAGAGATGAGCACATACAGGCAAATTGTAAGCAAACCCACATTCTGTATTTGGGCAACTCATTTTCTCTTTTATTGGCTTCGCTGCATGTTTGTGGTTTCATCCAGGAAAGCGACGCAGGGAAAAAGTTTCTTTCCCTTTGCATTCTCTCCCTCCATTTCCTCTTGTGCCACAGTCCTCGCTGGACTCAAGCAGTTTTTTACAACAATAATAAGAGAAAGAAATAAGCGGAAGTTAAGAGGCATGCCTGTTGTCGTTTAGTTGGGCCAAGCTCTGCACATCTCGTTCTTTGAATTCCAAATCAATCGCCTGCACTTGGGATATGGCAGGACTTAAAGACACCAGATCTTCAATTGCTGTGGAGAGAAACCTCCAAAATCCACTTCAGCTGCCCTTAATGAATCCAGTTTGACTTCCTTCTGAGAACCCGTGTGGTGTGGTGGATGGAGAGTTTGACTGGAACTGGGAAGATCTGGGTTCAGCCATGAAGTTCACTGTCTAACTCAGTAATGGCCTTTCTGCCTAGCCTACCTCAAAAGGTTGTTGTGAAGATAAGATGGAAAGAAGGGGAACCTTGTAAGCCACTTGCAAGAGGAGGAAAGGTGGGGCACAAATATTTGCTTCAGTTTATATCCTGCTTTTCTCTCAAACTCAAAGCGGCCTACTTCATTCTCCTCCTCTACTCTCAACCTTATCCCCACAACAACAACCCTGCGAGGTAGGTTGGGCTGAGAGTCCGACAGGCCCAAAGTCACTCCTTTGGCTGCATAATCGAGTGGGGACTAGAACCCGGATCGCCTGAGTCCCAGTCCCGCGATCTTCACCACTGCACCGGCTCGGTCACCTAAATATTTTATTTATATTGCGATTTATATCCTGCCTTTTTCCTGCAAAGGGCTCAAGGCAGCTTACATCCTTTTCCTCCTCCATCTTATCCCCACAACAACAACCCTGTGAGGTAGGTTGGGCTGAGAGTCTGTGACTGGCCCAAAGTCACCCAGTTGGCTCCATGGCAGTATTCTTGCATGAAGTCACATCTGGCTTAACACATTTTGTTGCTGACAAATAAGACTTATTCTTTACCAGAAAGATTTAATCCAGCCGTGGCCATTGATGTTTTCACAGCCTCTCTTCCAAACGGGAAAGAGATGCGTCAACCCAGGGATGGAGCCGGGGCATTTTCAAGGCAGCCTGGTCCAGGTCGCCGTCACTGCTGCCTTGGTCAGGCCTCTTAGCTTGGGTTTTCCTCTGGGCCACATCCATTCAGAAGGCACCTGAAGGCCACTGTGCTTCATAGCTCAGAGAGGGTGGATGAATGGCCAGTGACGAGGAGAAGCGTCAGAGGTAGGAATTTGGGGGTCTCTGCAGTGCCAAACAGGAACCCTTCCGGTCATTGGATGCCCTCCCATGCTGATCCCTGGAGCTGGTTCTGGGTGCAAAGGAACCACACTGGCTCTGGTGGTTTTGCAGACAGGTTGGACACTAACCATCCTCCTGTTGACGGGGTCCGTGGGGGGCTTTCTGGCATTGCTTAAGCCCCGGAGCAGCCTAGCAAAGGCCTCCGCCCTTGGGGCTTCTTACTCACGGATGTTGCACCATGGAAAACACACCCAGCGGTTCACAGGGCCTCTTGCGGTCTTATCTTTGCTTTGTCATCCCAGTCATTAAGCAGTGAGCAGAGCAGCTGCGCGGCCCGCGCCTTTCCCTCCCGTGTTAGCAGTGCGCAGAAAGGTCAATGCCAGCCTGTGTCCATTCTCTGACTAGCAAGGTCAGCCCTCCTTG